GAGGATGAGGAGGCATCGTCTTCTGACGTAGAGGTGAGCGGCAGCGATGTCAGCAGCGACGAGGCAGACGAGGAAGATAATGTTTACTATGATTTGAAGGGGGCGGGTGGACAAATATCAAAAGGTTGGGCACATGCAGTTCTGAGGTTGGCACGTGCATTCCCCGATCCGCACAATATGCTGCGTGTTGTGATGAAGGGGGCAACACCTGACGGTGCTCTACAGTATGCCGCAATCACCACTATAATGCAAACATGCAACAAGGGGGAAAAGTGGTTACGTGTTGGCAAGGGATGGTTTGTTCTGGTGAACAGAGAGGTTGTGCTAGCAACGTCACAGACGTGGGGAATCAATCGGAGTTGCCTCATACACGGCGCAATGGCGACAGCTTGCGGAGAGACATTGAACCCCGGCTTGAAAACAGAAGACGCCATAGTTGGTGCTCAACCACGACATCTTTCAACAGGAGACGCCATAGTTCACAGTCAACCTGATGACAGACATGCATAGCATATAGCAATGGAGTAGTTGTACAAACAACCCTCAATTTGTACATCCCTCAACCACGGTCGGGTTCACTACTGTGTGCCATATAAGTATCCACCGGTGTTGTTTGTTGTCGTTCTGGTCCACACTAGTGAACCTCTCTCTCTCTCTCTCTCTCTCTCTCTCTCTCTCTCTCTCTCTCTCTCGTATTTCTAGTTGTAGCTATAGTACAACCTGTACATCCGTCTACAGGTTCTGTGTCATGCTGCCTGTTGTTTGCTTCTCCAAGTACATGCGGTTCACAACAACGTCCAGACATTGGGTGCAACTTTATTTCAATCATTTGATGATTGTTACAATGTATGTCATAATTTGTTGCCTTCTGTAGCACGTGAGACACATCACACCCCCTATGATGACCAATGCGTGTATGTTGTGTTTTTTTTATTATTATTATTTTTTTTTGCACTCTTTGTGATGTCAATTCAAATTTTGCAGGTTATGCAATGTTTCGGCAATGGAAGCGGAGGTCGGCTGAGGTGCCGTTGTGCAATAATTTTGATGCAGACGCAGAAAACACATACCACATTCACAAACGTTATGGATGGATAGTTGCAAACTTAACCAGCCGCACAAACGTGGTGATGAATGTCATGTCACATATCGTGTACCTTGTGCAAGTGGTTGCCTTTTCCAACAGGACCATGAAACCTGTCGTGGCATATACATTATCGTGTCACACGTCTGACTGCTAATCTTTGTCAATCGGGATTAGTGACAAAGACAGTCAGTTCCCAAAACGGCATTCAAGACTCCATCGTTCTCTCTCTGACACACAGAAGAGGAGAGCAATACTTACAGAATATAATAAAATATGCTGTGCAATTTATAATTCGAACGACCTCAACCAATGTAAAAAATGCTAGTCAAAGCACTGTCCGCACCGTTCTGTTAGTCTTTGGAATGGACTGCATGCACATAAAATGAACAGCGGTCCACGGGTATGCGACTGTGGCAGGCCTTTCATGTCCTTACGAACTTTGAATTCACATCATGCGAGGGCATGCCGGACTGTGGTGGATGAAAGAGCACAAGGGCAGGAAATGGGTGTTGTTGACGCCTGCGGGCCATCAAACATAGGTGCAGTGAATCTCGTGAGCGATGAGAGCGAGGAGATCGGAGCCCCCGAGAACGCAGACGGGGAGGGCGGGCCATTCGCAGAGCAGCAACCGCCGCCTGCCGAGTCTTTTGACAACTCTCGCAAGTTGGTGGCACTAATTTTCTCTGCCAGGGGCGGTGTCAGTATGTCGCAGAGTGACATAGATGCTCTCTTGTCACTTCTCAAAGACCCGAGATTCAGCACGACAGACATTGCATACCGTAATAGTCGAGAGTGTTTGACATGGGCAGGCAGTCTAGCAGAGGCTGCAGGATGGAAGGAGTCGGATCTGCGTAGCGACGACTGGCTACGAGATGCGCACGCCATCTTGTGGCACCGCGATTGGCGAACCACATTTCTGTCGATTTTTAATATCGCATTACAGAAATGCGAGACAGTGTCTTCTCTAGAGGTGTCCCCGCCGTCAGAGGACCTCAGTATATCTGGGCCGCGCAGCGGGGCACTAAATTATCACATCCATTCAATCATTCAAGCAGACAAAGGTGTGGACGGGAATGAAAATCCACGTTATGTTATCCCTCTGTCGCTCATGCTGACAAGACACACACGGACGGTCGTGAAAAACAGACGGTGTACCCTCTCATGATGTTCCTAGCCGACCACGCATTCGAAGCCACACTGCTGGCCTATCTTCCTGTGCTTCGTCCACGTGACAAAGGATGGAGTCAACAGTCCACCGCATTAAGAAAGCGAAAGACCGTCATTTTGCACAAGGCCCTTATAGTGGTGTTGCAGTTTGCGAAGGAGGCATCTCATGACGGAATAATGAAACCGACAACGCGATTCGGGGACGTAACTGTCCACCCTTTCCTCCTCAACTATATACAGGACTACCCAGAACGATGTGCGCTTGCGACTGTGAAGTTTGGCGTATCCCCGACATGCACCGTATCCAGAACCGACTTTGATGTTCTAGCCGATTTCACGGACTGCAGGAGATCACAAACGATCGAAACACACCTCACAGCAGCTGTGTTCACATCCGACGACATTGATGTGCGACGTGCAGCGAAAGGACAAATGTCAGAGTTGAATATGCATAGGCATGTTCAAAAGAACGATCTTTGGGGGTTCTACAGGGGACTCAATGGTGACGACCCTCAGCTAGACTACCACCTGGCATTGCAGCCAGACCGTATGCACACAATCGAGCATGGCATATTCCTGCACATGATTGACGCATTCAGGACGGTAGCGTTTGACAAGTTGTCGCACATGCCGCAAACAGAAATCCTTAAGGAACTAGATGCCAGGTTGCAGAGCGTTAGTGAGAGATGCACACGAACATACCCCCAACTTGTGCTGCCGGTGGCCACTGGCAACGATTTTTTTTCGAGGGAGTGTCGGTTCGAGGCGAAGCAAAACCGGTCTATGATGACAGTGTGCGTGTTCCTTATTTGTAATGTTGTCTCACGCTCGACAGGCAAGGGCATCACCCTTTGTTTTGTGAAACTGATGGAAATGTATGTACGAGTGTTTCGGTGCACAACACACACTCGTGCTTCGCTCGATGAATGCGACGCTTTGATCATGGACTTCATTACGACCATCAAAGCGAAATTGGGGAGATATCATCAGAACGGAAACTCCCCAAGTTGCACGATCTGATGCATCTCAGAACGTGTATTGAGCGATCCGATGTTCCTGACACCTCCGCAACAGACGTTTGGGAGCATCACCACAAGAAATTCTGCAAACAGCCATACCTGTCATCAAACAAGCGGAACGCTTCAACCCAGATGGTGAACTATGTACGCCGGTCATTGGCGTTGCAAGAAGAGACCGAGATCGTGAGAAAATGGAGGAAGAGAACAGTCCAGAACCGATCGTCTGTGACAGACTGCATGGCCACGAGAATGAATACCCTCGCACTACGCGATACTGGAATCCTGCAACTGTGGTGGTTCGACATCGATGACGAGGACATACGAGAGGGAGCAGGCATTGACAACCGTGCGTGTAAGATACTAGAAGAGTTTCCTTTCAGACGTGATTTTCGAGCAGCGCTTACGACCTACATGGTGGAGAATGATTGTCAACCTCCTTTTAATGACCTGCTTATACACACACGAACACACCTGGCCATCGCCTGCGTACAAGACGGAACAAACAGGGGCACACTTGTTCAAAGTGCAAGAGCGTCGCCACAATTCCATGGGAGACCAATGCACAATGACGTCGCAATTAGAGCAGAAAATGAATGCACATGGTTTGCATCAATAGCTATGTTTTTTGTCGTGGCCGCACCGACGAACATCGGAAATATGGAACACAGCTGCGGATTTGTGCAATGGTACAAGGAGGTCGACAGTGAACGGCAACACGTGACAAAATGCAAGAAATTGAAATGGGAGAAGTTGAATGGGTATCAACACAGCAACGTCGTATCAACCAACACTATTGTAGATATCGTTCACATTGTTCCACGCTTCTGTAAACCACAATGGGGATCGAAGTAGTATACAATACAGCGTAAGGACTGTTTTTTTTTTAACAAGTACATATTGTAGAAAAAACAATTGCAAAGTTTTTATTTTTGCTAAGAGAGAGAGAGAGAGAGAGAGAGAGAGAGAGAGAGAGAGAGAGAGAGAGAGAGAGAGAGAGATCGTAACGACCTTCATCAGAAGTCTGACGAATTCTGTAAGTCTGCCTAGCTGGAATCATCATGGGACAACCATGTTGTTTCATAAGAAATTCAGGGGAACAAGAGAGGACATTTGTCTCTTTTTTTCTGTCATTTTTAGAGAAATATCATGTCAAACGTGGCCGAGTTTATGAAGCGGTGAAAACCACATGCGAAACAACCGTGTCCCCAAAAGTTCACTACTGCGTGACATTTACGTGGTCAACAATGACATTCCTTTCACTTTTGGCACGCAGTAGCCTCTCTCTCTCTCTCTCTCTCTCTCTCTCTCTCTCTCTCTCTCTCTCTCTCTCCAAACTATCCTGTAAAAACGATTCGATTTCTTGCTAAAAAACTTAGCAAATCGTCATTGTCATTCCTTGTTGACCAACACGTGTGAACAGGAATAGAAACTTACGACGTCACACAACAAGGGGGACGGGGCAACACAGAATACAGAATAACAGGGTGCAGGTAAGAGAAAGCGAGCAAGGATGACAGGTGAGAGAAGATAGAGCAACACATCGAAAGCCTTGAATTGTCGTCGAACCCGTGAGACGACAATGCGAGGAAAGTTCACTACTGCGGGCATTTGTTACATAAAGACCGGTGGCTTGACCAGGTGATTGGCCCGCAGTAGCTAACCTTCTCCCGGTGATGGACGGGGGCATTTCCCAATTAGTTTTTTTTGCTTGAAGCATATATATATTTTTTTCCTTGAGTACGCAAACCCAAACCGCCTGACAAAACAGATACAATCATTTTGGTGCTGAAAGAGGTTTGTAACTTGCATGACGTTGCAATTTTAGAAATAAGATCTTGGTTGCGCCTCTCTCTCTCTCTCTGTCTCTCTCTCTCTCTCTCCCTCTCTCCCAATGCGGCCCCCCGACACTTTAGAGAGGCATGGATCAACACACAACATTGCTGACGCAGTTGTTGTTCTTTTTCCACTTTCATGTATGTGGGGAAAACAGGGCAATGGCTCCAAGGCCAAAATACGAGGATCTTTGCAGGTCCTTGAGGGCCGCGGGAAAGAAGGACAAGGAGAGGAAGAAATCCAATGCCGAAAAGAAAAACGATTCGAGAGAGCATCGCAGAAGCGGATCTGATAATGCGAAAACGGAACGCACCAGCAGGCGAAAGCACGGATCAAAAGTTTCAGTTCCATCAAGTTAGCGCGTTCTTTCAAAGCTGAAAGAACGCAATGAGTCCCCCCCTTCGACTCCCGCCCCACGGAGCCGTGCCAGCAGTGCCGAGAACCGTTCGTCCAGGGCCCCCGAGA